TCTGAACACTGAAATGTGCAATTTCTTTCACATGACCACAGCTACGCAGATTTAGTAAGATGTGTGCATGCATATGTTTATATGTGTTTGTGTGTTTATTGCTTCAGAATTGCCTAGAGTTACATCATCCCAAGAGATATATTCAGCCCTGTATGCTCAGATGAAATATGATGTTTGCACATAAAATTATAAGGATTCATGAGTCACTCAGACAGGAAGGTGAGATGAGGCAGTTATAAAACAGATGCTAACACTACTTTTGCACTAGAGTCCTCTGAGGTAGGCTGCTCTATGATAGACTAGGCTATGCCTAGTCTAGTCTATTCCCTGGATTTTTTATTTTAAAATGATTTTAACCAACAATGGAAATTCATTATTTTGATCTGACATTTAAGTATGTTTTCAATTGTATCCAGTTCTACTGACTAGAAAAAAAAACAACACCACCACTATAATTGCTCTAGTGACTAGGATAAATGAAACATTTCTGAAATATTATTAAGACTATCTAAATCCTTAAAGTGATAGGACTTGGTTTGAAACCAATAAATTAATTTGATATTTTAAAAAAACTCACAAGCGCCAGAGAAGAATCCTTATCCAAGGCATTTGTGCATCCTCAGTCTGTTTTACATCCCATTTTCCTTTTGGCAGCAAACTTGGCAATTCAAGTGAACAGTCATTTGTCAAAAAAGCAAAGGCTGAAAAGAAAGATCGTGATTATCTTTTTACTATTGGCATTAAATATTTATCAGCCTAATTCAGTAATAGATACACATATGTGCTTACATGATAGAGATAAATGGGTGTGTGTATACACGTGCATGTGGCCATTCTTCACATACAGAGTGAATCATATCAGAGCACACTGTTGATAAGTTAGATGCCGGTGCTTGAGGTTGCTGAGTATATGTGGAACTCAACAGCAAGGAGGCTAAAAGTGTATGAACCCTATCTGGAGCATTCAGGATCTCTCAGTCTAATATCCACTCTCACCATCCCCTCTCAGGATGATCCATAGTGGTCCAAAAGAGAGGTCTGCATCCTATGGCAGATAAGTTTTTAGGATGCCCATCAGATGACATCTTTTGTTAAGTATCTACTGGCATACTTAACTTGTAATATGAGAAATAAACGTATATCCTGATATACCACGCTTGATTTTCCCCACTGTTATCTAAAACTGCAAATGTGATGAGACTCTTCGATATATATCAAGCTAGCAGTCCAAATTTGATCACACCAAAGGAATAAATATCTTGAATACACAGGGTCATATTTATGTTCATTTAAAGGAAAACCACCTAATACTAGCTCTGTTCAGTTTTCGGTCCTTTGTTGGTACTACAGGCAGTTTCTGGAATGAAAGCAGTTGCTCTATATTTATCCATATTTATCTTTTGAAAGCTACCTAAGACTGAGCTCTAGGAATTGTTAACTTCCCTCCCTCATCAGCTGAGGGTGTTAGTTTCATAGCATTGTCTGCACAATCAGCATCCCAATTACCTTTCAAACCGCTGTGAATAAATGCATTTCTTTACAATGCAAAGCTTGGAAAATATCCAGTAATTTCTAAGAGCAGGCTGATGTTTTCCTATCAGTTCACCAGAAAAAAAAAAAACAACCACTTGAGAATTCTATAGTCACACATAAGATATTGTGATCACAGTGATCAGTAATCAAAAATGTGTGGTTTGAAGTCAAGCATTTTAACCTGTGTATATTCATTTACTTATGCCCTCCTAACTCAGTCTTGCAAAGACAAATGAGCCCATTTATGAAATGAACAACACATTTAAGTATAGAATTGGGGCTTTGCATGTGTAAGAATGGAAAGGCTGTCTTTTAGAGTGTTTCCACAAACCATTTATTTTTAATGCTGTTTTATTTCGAGGCAAGCAGGGATGGATTCTGCAGCACTGACATTCCACATTCTTGTACCCTTTTTAATTAGTTTAGACTTGTTCTCCAGTCTTCCAGGAGTTTTCACGTTTGTGCATGTCCCTCCTCCATGCCCATAAAGACAGACACCCATCAATACTTCTGTTTTATGACACCTCAATATTTTTTTCTCAGCATATTTTGAAAATTTTGACAGCACAAGTTTGAAAGTGTCTGCTTTCTCATGTGTTCACCTGCTCATCTCCACTTGTTTAACTCCTTATCCCTATATGCCAATAGATATTATCAGTAAATCCTCCTGGTTTAATCTTCAAATGTCTCAGAAATCTCCCCTTTTCTCTTCATTCTCCCCATAAAATCTTTGTCAAGTCCATCCTTCTTCACATCCATGCCTACTGCGACCTTGCCGTCTTCAGCCTCTAACTGACACTCACATTAGCCATTTTTTAAAGTACTCTAATGCAAAAGTAATCCACTGCTCCTAGTATTGAGATCTCATTAAGATATTCCTAAATCCCTCTTCTTCACTGTCTCCCTATTGCCTTCTAAATCTGATCAAAGCTCCCTTTATCACCCAGAGTTCCTCTTGACCTAACCTTCCTTCTTCTGTCCTTGCTCTGTTCTTCTACATCTTTCTTCTTTATGTGTTCCCTCCTCACCCGTTGCCAGTCACAGTGTAAACCATTTGCCAATTAGACCTATGCACCACCTTTGATGTTGTCCACTGTACCTGTGAGTCGACTAGTTCAGCTATACCATTCTAGATGGAAACTATCCTCATCTGATTGGCATAGTCCCCTTGGTAAGTTTGAACTATTGATTGGTAAAAAGCAAGATATTATCTGCTTTTCTGTCAAAAAGGAAAGGAGGTGTTTGTCTTCTTATAGTGAGATTTTGGTTTTTTTTTTCTGAGTCATCCACAATTTATCCTGTGTCCGTAGTCCTTGAATCAAAAAAGGAATTAAAGTTTTTACTATAAATTTGCTATCACTATGATTCATGAAATTGCTCTCCAACCAGTCTGTCCCAAGACCCCTTGCAGAAAGCTGATGTCTAGAAGAAATTGAAATGTACATCTCTGACTTCTCGAAAAATGTTTCCAACTCTTAAGACCTGAATTTTACATTGTGACTTCTTGCTCTCTCCACTCACTTACTATTAAACACCTCTTAGCTTGATTTTGGGGAGCAAAAATACGCAGGCTAATAAGATAAAATTTCTGCATGATAGGATTTCCAAACCAAGCCCTTAGTAGCCAGCTGAATTTCAGTAGCAGGATCTGTAAGTCAGAACAGACAAGTCAAGCTTCCAATACAGCGCATGTCAGCACAAAGGACAGGACATGCAGATCAAAGCTCCCCTCAAATCATTTGACTTTCTGTTCCTCTGTGTCTCCATGCATTAGATTACGGGAAAACTTAACAAAACAAACTAACTCCTAGTCCCTTCCTCTCTTCCTCTTTAAGTCCTCGCCCTCCTCGCAAAATCAAACAGGAGAAAAACAGTCTTCCTACACCTGGACCCTTTGTTCGTTATTCTGCGGTTCATCGAAAATTAACATCCGGTTACTAGAGCTTCCTTTCTCTTTGCCAAGGTGCTACAGAAGTCCTTTGTGCCAACCAGACACCTACGTGCTATTTCTACATGCCTCACGCCTCCCTGGCCTGAGTAGAGTTTAACTCGTTGAACTCCAGCCAGTAGTGATCATGAAGCTGGAAAATGATGGTGAGCAAATAGTTCCTAACAAGTTTAGAAAAAACATTGCCACGTACACATCCACTGATAATTTCTAAGAGCAGGCTGATGTCTTCTCATCAGTTCCCTACCAAAGTCTCAACTTCAAAACTTTCTAGCCAGACATGAGATATTTTGTCGCAATGACATTCCACAGCCTCATGTCTGCTTTATTTAGTTCAGAGATATTCTCCGTTCTTCCAGCAGCCTGCTTGTTTGTGCATGTCCCTCTGTTTCTGTCTATAAAGACAGGCATACATCAATGCTTCAGTTTTACCATGCTTCAATATGTGAGTGATCATCTCCAGGAAGCTGGGAAATGATGATATGCACATCATCCATAACAAGATTAGAGAAAATATTGCCATGTCCATGCGTAATATAAGTACATGCTGAAGTCTTGTCTATTAGGATACTATAATGAGGATAGAACTGCTCTCATATTTAACACAAAGACATGCCAAACACTTTACCAAATTGGCTATATTGAATATGTCTTGTTACAAAACACCCTATTTCAGTCCCACAAACCCATAGAAACTTCGGCTCCTTCAGCTCCTGAGATTCCTGGCAATACAATTGTCTTCCTGCCTCTTTCCTCCCTGCCTATACGTCTTTGTTTTCCTCACAAAGCAGAGTTCAGTGGATTTCCTGTACCTCCTCACAAGCCACTACCCTTAAAGCAACACTGCTTAGCTGCAGTGAGGATCTATCTCAAAACTGAGGAAAGCAGTACGAAGAACCATTGCAGTCAGCCAAGATTGTCTCAAAAAAGATTGTGTCTTGGGGCTCACGTACATTTGGCTCACCAGGAAAATATGGAAGGAAGCCTGTAGACCATTAACTCTGAGCTCATAAACCCTGAGCTAGTTACTAATCTCCACCTTTTTCTTATCCTCCCTGATCTGCTCCACCATCCTTCTGCTGCTCCTTTACTCCTTCTGCAGCTCACCTCTCAGATCTTCACCCTTCCCCTGCCCCAGGCACACTCCCAGGCAGCTCCTTTAACCCAGGTTCCTCTAACCCTCTCACTCCTGAATCTTCTCCAGTATCCCCTGCAAGACCCAGGCTCCTGCTTCTCTTCTACTTTCTCATTGATTTCCTTCTTGTTTATTCCCTGCTTGCCAGAAGAGCAGGTCCTCAGCCCCTCCTGGCCCTTCCTGTCCTGCCTGCAAGTCTCAGGAGCTTTTGGAAACGTGAAGCTTGGGACAAAGGGCAGTGTCAGGGCTGTGCCTGCACCAGGACATTGCTTCCCTGACAGGCATGTGTACGTCGTTTGCACATGGTCATACATTTTAAGGCAAGGAGGTTTTTTCTGTGGCCAAGGACTCTGCAGCAGGCACCGCAGAGCAACAACATCACCAATGAAACTGCTTCCATTCCTAGGTAAGTGAAATCTCCTTCCCGGGAAGTGAGTGGCAAGTGGGAAGGGAGTGGGGTCTGGCAAGAAGAAACAAGTGTGTTGGAGACGGTGGAAAGCAGCTGGGTACATGCTGGAGATCGAAAGTCTCTGTATCTTTGATCAATGCTGCTACCAGATTTGGTAGTTGCACGGTTAGGATCATCCCCAAACCAAATTCCACAGATGCTAGTCTTTATCTCACTGTGAGTTTTGTTCTGTAAAAAACAGAAACATGGTGAGTTTCTGGGGATTTGGGTTTGGTGACTTTTTTTCTCTATTTCCATCTGCTTGGGAGATTTTTAGATTTCACATGTTACGAACAGTAAAATGACAACAGAATCCCACAGGTTTCTGTTTTAATCTCTGAAAGATGGTCTGCTCTCTCAAAAACAGAGGGAAAAGATGAAGCTTAGTGATACCTAAATTGATTTGGATTATATATAATTGTTTAAATATTGTGTGTAATTTTTAGTCTTTTGAATTTTTCACGAAATTTTAATTTGCCCAAGAAAACAACGTCTCAGTGAGATTTCCTGAAGCAATGAAATCTGTAATTGTAACACTAGACTAGCAAATATCCACAATAATATTTGAGTAGGGAAAATCGGAACTGCAGTGGAAGACAGCATCCAAAAGAGTCTTTGTGTTCTGCAACTTTTGTTATGTCCTCCTAACAATTTATAAAGTACAAAGTAAAAAACTTACTTTCCCTTCCAAGTTAACTGCCTCATTTCTAAACTGTTAAAGGGTGTGTATAATTGTTCAGTGAGCCACTAGTTTTCTCGAAGGGAGAGGTTCCTTTTTTCTTTGTGTTGAAAACCATATGTATTCATACAATGGGAAAGTAGTTACACCGTTTAGAAATCATCCAGTGTATGGAAAAAAGAAAACAATACTTTCATAACATGGAAATGGTATTTTAAGAGATTAACTTTAAATAATTTGATAAGTTTTTAAACCTTAATGTCATAATGCTGTAAATACTGCGGCATGTCGTTTTAATCTCTCAGACCATACATATGTGTTAGCTACACAAGTATGGAAGTGCTTACAATAATTATAACTGATTAAGGGAACCCCGGTTGGTGTTTTTCACTTGATATGTGTAGGGCAGTTTGGATTACATTCAGTCCATAACTCAGAGTGCAAATAAATGTCTGTGCTTTACTGGAAAGTACTAGAGACCTTTGAAAGCCTTTCAAATGTTTTCCCTAGACCACTGAGTAACTTCTACATTGTTGACCAATTTTATGCTGGTTGAGCACATACACAAGTTGTTAATCCACAGTGTCTGCTATTTCTAGCTCCTGGGTAGTTTTACCAGTCCCTGTAGTTGATGGCCCTTGCCCCATCCTGTGATATAGCTGAGTCTGAGTTAATGTTAAGTTTACTGAAATACACCAATTTTGTGGATACTTTTTGCCCAGATCTGGTTTTAGAGCTCAGAATGAAGATTTTTAGATAAAGAAACAAGTCTGATTATCCTTTGTTCCAGTTCTGATTTCTAGTCTGCTGGACTATGGCTGCACTTCTGCAAGCTGCAACATGACATGCCACAAAGATGCCAGGTGTGAAGTTCAGGGTGGGACAACAGGCTGCTATTGCTCCCAAGGATATACGGGAAATGGCATAACGTTCTGTTACGGTAAACATATTTTACCTGTATGCATTTCTGTTATGTGCTTGCTTGAAAACCTTACTCAAGAGATCATTAGCTCAAGGGTTAAACTTTATGTCACAGCACTTTACACTAACGTGTTCTCAAAGCCAAACACTTTAGCAGTTTCTGAGAAATTCTACAATTTACTCTCAGCCTAGTATTTTAATATAGCATACCGTGCATTCTTAGTTGAGTATGACCTGTTTTACAGCTTTCCTTTTCCATGAGAGATGCTGATGCATCTTTTCTGATTTAGCTTCAGCAATTTCCCTTGTGACTCAGGACTTATAAAGCTCGGAGTTGGCATGACTGCTACTTTACAGCCCTCATATCTTATCCACACACACATCACACTAGGCCACTCTTCCCAGCAGCTGATCACAATCAAATGATACAGCTCCTGGGCTACTCCAGAAGACTGAGGAGGTGTGTGTGCCACAGAGACATGTCTGCATGTGGAGCCAATGTTAACTTTTGCACTATGGCTACTTGCAAGGGAAATATGCCAGAAATTCTACAAAGGTAGGTAGGTATAAGCACAAGGAAGCAGCCCACCTTTAGTTTGGATTTTTATAGCTTATCTGCCATCGTATACTTGGAAGTGTTCTTGTTTTAGAAAAAATTTTAGTGCAAAGACCTTTTTCCTAAGAAAATCGCTTAGCCTTTTATAAGCTGAGAGTATTTAGAGAGAAATATAGCTGGCTAAAATAATATACACGAAGTAATTACAAAAATTGTAGAACAATTTAGTTTGTAAGAGACCTCTGCAGGTCATCTGGTCCAGTTCGCAACTCAGAGCAGGTCCAACTCAGAGGAGGTTGATCAGGCCCTTGTTCAGCTGAGTATTGAGTATCTCCAAGAATGAAGACTGCACACCTCTCTTTGATCCTGTTACCACGTCTGACTAGCATAATTTTGAAAACTTTATTCTGGCATCTAGTTGCAGTCTCTCTTGATGCAGCTTGTAACTTTTGCCTCTCGTGCACTTACTGTGGTACTTTTCTAATAATAGTTTGGCTTCACCTCCTCTATAAACCCTGGTGACCCTCCATTAGGTAGTTGCAGACAGCAGTATGATTTCCCCTTTGCCTCCTCTTCTTAAGCCTGAGCAAACAGTGTTCTCTCAGCCTCTTCTTTGCATCACGTGTCATGTAGTCACTAAACATATTTCTTGAATTTAATGCTAACCTTGCCATAAATACAGGTCAATCATTATTTGTCTATTGAGCTGCTCAAATGAAAACAAGAAGAAATGGCCTTCACCACACTAGTATAGTATTTGCACTAATTCAATTTTACTGTCATAAGTAAGCTGGTTGATTTGAAAGTTAAGTGCACATTACGTTTGCAGAGTCAAGGGCCTACACTTGTGAGTAATGCAGAGAAAGAAGAAAACCAAGCCAATTTTTAGCAGTACTACCTGGAACAAATCAAACCAGCATTTACTTCTCTCTTATGATCTGGTATCCACTACATTGTCTGTAATTTTCTAGAAAGTTGTGATTATGAATCATCAATTAAATTTGCAGTAAAGACACCTGTTGCTCTTCACTGACATTATTGATGTTCTTAATTCCATCCATTATACATATACTCATTATGGTGTTATTAAATCCATTTATGTGAGAATGGATTTATCTTACCTTCCATGTTCTTTTTTCTCACACAATACCTTTTTCTTTCTTTCTTTCTCTCCTGTATTTTCTTAAGGAAACTTGCCTTCAAAATTCATAAAAACATTTATTTTTTGTTTATAGAAAATTCAGTACAGTGAAATATACACTCATAAATCTTACGAATCAATTAATTGTTTTTTAATAATTATACTAAGTGTTTGGGAACTCAATCTTTAAAATAACATTTCCAATGTCAGTCCATGCAAACCAGCTACTAGATGTGTTTGTGGTGCTTTGCAGTTAAGTGGCAATGGTTTGAAGGAAGCCTCATGTCAGGGGACCAACGTTTTCTCTGGTAAAATACCTCAACAACCACCAAAGTCACTTATCCTCCAGCCAAGCAGCAAAGCTTGTATCAGAACTATGTGGCTGCTGTCCCTGAAAGAGAGACGACATTTCTCTAGCGCAGCACGATACACGGTGCGTTATTAATATTGTGCAGTAGCCCTCTAATAGCATAAACAAGTAACCTGAATTTTAATTGGGTAGGCTCTAAAAAGGATTAGAAATATAGGCTAACCCTGTCATAAATAGTTTAAAGCTACAAAAACATAAAGCAAAGCCTCAGTTGTTTAATGATGTATTAGATCTTGCTGTTCTGTGTGGCAAAAGCGGCAGGTGTATCTACTGCTCTAGAGATAGCTACCCATTTTTCTTCAGTTGATAATCTTAAGCTTTTACAATGAGAGTCTAGTCACCTTCAAAGGAGATCATCAATTATGTGCTAATACAGGCATTTTCTAAATAGTATATATGGTACCTTGTGTTTACATATTTGCCCTTTTAGTTATTTAGATAGGTTGTGAGAGTCATAATTACTGTCAACAACATCAATAATTTTGCATAGCATAGAACCAACTTTATCGTTGTGCTTATCCTGGTAGACAATTAAACTACAACAGTGATTGTTTTGAAGGTTTATTCTAGAACAAGCAATTCAAATTCTTTCCCCTTGTAAAAATGCTGAACAACAAAAAATGTTAGTATTCAGGTCAGTCCTTTTAAGCTTCTATAGCTGAAAAACTGTCCCTTTTTATTTATAGATACATTCTCACTGTATTTAAAAGGTTCACATTTGTTTCTCTACTTTCACTTGCTTGTAACACCTCTTAAATACTTGTAAAAGTTATTTGCTAGCTCTGTCTTTTCAATAGGATACACTTAGACATTTTCCCTTGAGTTTACTGTGCTGCAAAAGGCAATAATGCCCTGTTACATTTATTTCCTAGCACCATTATTGATGAATCATGAATCACTGATGTCAGCATACCTTAGGAATGGGGTTCGTTAGTTTTTCCTTTGCTCCTTTTGCCAGCTGGCTAAGTGACTGCAGAGAGCTCAAGATTATTGGATTTGCTGTGTATAGATAAAGGCATATAGATATGAATTTAATTTCCTGGTGTCAAAGTCATGGCTTTTAAAATAATTATCCTCTTACAATCTTTCCCACAAGATTTCAACCACTTTAAATTAGGTCATGTTTTGGACTTTCCGAAGGCATACTTTGGCCAGTCCAACAAAAAGATAATCCTCTTCATAATCTCATTGTCTTCAGAAAGAATATGTTCAGGAATGTACATAGTCAGGAGAGTAACTGTTGCAGGATCTGGCCTCTTTTATATATTTGAATTATAAGTTACATAGCAATAAATTCCTTCTGTACAGTATCTTCCAGAAAGCCATAAATGAGTCACCTTGTCAAGATTTACACCTCTAAGGTACAAAGTACTATCCCATTCTTCTTACTTCTTCTTTTGTATTTATATTACTTGCTTTATGTAGTACAAGATGAGAGAGAACAGCCTCTGAAAATATAACTATTTGCCTTTTAGGACTCCATTCTTGGGCCGATGTGTATGCTGAATATAACGCATGAGACTTTAGCGTCACGTTATCATGCACCTAATTGAAGTAGGCATAAAAATAAAACTATATCCAGATAAGACTGATTTATAGACAAGTTAACTTCCTCTTGTGCAAAAATGCCATGGGTTTTTTACAGACAAATAGCGTATATTTGCCACTTTCGTAAATCTATTTCTTTATATAAAAAGAGTCGGCTATATAAATTAGGTGTTGCTCATAATCCCAGCTTTCTTCCAAAAGAAAATTAAAGGAAACAAACAAAATCTCAGATCTTTTAGAGAAGATTGGAATAGAAGTAAAACTTTATAGAAGCCAATATTTTATTTTTAAAACAGAGGGAAAAATGAGTTGGCATCATTGCTGCTTTCCTAAGCAGCTCTGCTGTTTCAATATTGGCTGCTTCTTGATCGCTGACTGCCAATTTGCTGCTTTGCTGGCACACTGCAGGAAATTAAAGTAAACAGTGTGATCACAGTGTTTACTTTAACTTTGCAGAATACAGAAGGAAAATGGAGCAGTGCTGTTTGTTCCAGGAGGGTACGCAGGCAAGCAGGAAAAGTCTGAACACAATATCCCTCCCAGATATCCCTGCATAATATTCCCTTATAAATGTCACTTGCAAATTATACTGCAAAATTAATCAGTCTTACTTGTAAAATAGTTACAGCACTTACAGAAATAGTGAGCAGGGACTTAGGCTGTTAGGGAAACTTTGCACTGAAGCAAGGCACTGACTTACTGACTGACTTTCTGAAGTGTAGTGCAGGAGGATCTAACGTTTTCCAGAGGCAAAAAACACATCCGTGCAAAGCAGTATTTTATATCAAAATACAGAACCTCTTTAGAACACAGGGCAATTTGTGTAAACTCAGCTGAATCAAATTGAAAGCCTACTCAATATCTGAACACAAACATATTTTCTTGTGTTATCCAGGGTCATAGGACCAATTCTCTGGCTTTTGCCAGCTGTAAAAAGGAGCTTTCCAATGAGACATCAGCTCCTTGCTCTAAGGTGATGTCACTGTGTCCCATCATCAACTTTTATTGCAGTCACTGAATTTGTTTTGATTCACTGGTGTCACTGTTGCCATTCTGCAACATTCAATCGATGTATAGTTTTGAGGGAATTTTTACCTTTAAAATTAACGTGACCCTGTAAAACCACTGTGTATAATCATTTCCTTCTATCCCGAAGTGTCCTTCAATAGAAAACATCTAATCCAAATGCTAGTTCACCAGAGGAGATTTTTTTTTTTGTTGTAACCAGCAGGCATACATCACCGGATGTCACTTCTGTGTTTACCAAACAGTCTGAAATCACTGATACGGAAGATCCAATCCACACACTTCCTAAATTCATTTCACTGCTATCAGTTACCACAAGCTATAAAAAGGCAAATTGCAGCTGTTCTAGCATAACACAGCAGGAGAAAGATGTGCCTT